GCCCCCGACCCTGCGCGCCCCCTGGCGGCGCAGCTGGGGCTGAGCCGCGCCCGGTTATTCCCAGGCTGCCGTGAACCAAACGCAGCGTTAGCAAAAGACGGTGTTAAGGTCCCCCCTCCTTCCAGGTGGCACTACGCAGCGCGGGGATGAAGTCCAACTTGTGTCTCCACTCTTGGTCCCCCAGCTGGTATTGTTGTCTTGTTACTGGTACGTGAAACAATACAATACCGATGTTCTAGCTTCTGAACAATGTTTCATTTTTGTACTTCTTGTCACATCTTCTACTCATCTTTTCAGATAAACAAGTCCCAACTTTTCCGTCTTTTTGCCTCGGAGAGTTGTTCCTCATGGTTTTTGGTGCACCTCTCTAGCCTTCTCTAATTGCAGGATATCTGTTTTCAGACTGAGGGGGCCCACACGCAGCACTCCAGAAAAGGCCGGGGCATGGAATTCTGTAATAGCCTAGTCTCTCCAGAATTAGTTTTCATTCTATTCCACATGTTTCTCAACGTCTGATTAATTTTTCTATGATACTGCATACTGAGCAGAGCTGTTACGCTGTTCAAGGTAATGCCCAGTTCCATTTTTTTGAGATGATACAGTTAATTTAAATCCTGTAATGTATTTATAAAAGGCTTTTTAGTTTTTAATTGTGCTTATATATATGCATACTGTCCCTTATAATCTTACTGTGTACTCTAATGTAGGATCAAGACTAATATGCCTGCAGTGAATAAGTAGGCTGTATAATACAGTGAATAAAGACACAAATCAGGGCATTGTTTGCATACTGGAAGATGCTGAGCGCTTTCTCTTCCTGATGGATGTGTCTAATCTAATTTAAAAAGAAAAGGTTTTGTCAATTTTGTGTGTCGCTAATTTGGCTGAGTTGAAAATCCTAGTCCAACCGTCCAATTTTAGAAGGTCAAGTTCTAAACCATGGTTAAGTGATTTTAAGGGCATCTTGTTTGGTCCTTTTGAGCAAGCTTCTCTTTAACTTAATTTTAAAAATTCAGATGAAGGTGTATCAAAATTATTGTCTTTTAAAAAACCTAGTGTGAAAGACTGTTTTTACCCCTAATATGAGAGGATTGATATTTCTTTACTTTCAGAAAACTGTGAAGGTTATGGAAGGCAAAGACAATTTGCAGGAGTCTGAAAATTACAGACTGATCTAATGTTTCCGAACGTTCTCCTCTTCCTTGGGTATTGCTCTGGTTTTCACTGTGATCAGTGTGTAATAACCTTCTCCACTGCAACCTACTATTGCAAAACTCACTCAAAATTGTTAAATAAATCCTGTAAGTAAATATTCCTAACACCAATTGTGACCAAGTGAAATGAAAGTCTGAGTTTAGAGACGTATGAAATGAAACGGGACTGTAAGCTAAAGGCCTGATATCCCAAAATGTTTGTAAATTGTGGATGCAGAGGCAGATTGTGGTCTCAACATTGCAGGCTGGGCCCATTCCTATTTGGGAGAATGTTTTCTTCACATATGAACTACACTGGATTGTTTGCTTTTAGATAAAATTTTATATTTAGATCTGAAAAATGTAAGCAGTTGTAATGGCTGAATTTCACACAGATTTTCCTAACTTCAATTTTGCTAGTTTAATTTTGAAACTATGCATTGCTCCAGGTTAACTTAACTTTTGGCCCACATTTGTTCAAAACGATTACAAGTTTCAGATTGTTTTAGTTGAACTTGCGATGAGCTTAAAATGTAATAAAACTGCAGAACAGGCAAGATTGACATAGTTTCACATTTCATTGCCAGTATGGTGGTTTATATATCTGCAGGTAGTGATCCCAAAAAGCTCAGAATATTTTGGAATGTAAAATAACACACTGTTGCGCACCTGGGTCGCCACACACATCAAGTACAATAGGTGATAAAATCTAATGTTGACATTTCTTCCTTAGACCCACAGAAAATACAAACATGCAGCCATAAAATTATAAGAGCAAATATAAAGAGAAATACTACAGTTCCTCCAAAAATAAGCCCTGACCTCTTCCATTTCATTTATTTTTCATGTTTCCATTGGTTTAATGGGAGTTAGGCTTTTTGCAGTGTGAATAGTCATAATTAATTTTTTCTCATACTGTAGTTTTTCTTCTTTACTCGGTAACATTTCACTTTGTCATGCCTTGTAAACACTTACATTTTGTTTCAAAATGCAACAATTACTTATCTCTACATTTCAGTCTCTGATTCTGGTCCCATTCCACTGTAGTAGAACAATGCTATATTTTTAGAGGCCTTATTTTTGCCAGCAATATCAAGCATTCGAAATAAAACCCTCAGAACCAGAGTCATTCTTCCCATCACGTGATGTGGTAGATGTGCGAGGTAGGAAGCAGAGCGAAGCGTGCGCAGTCCCCGAGCGGGAATTCCTCCTAGCGGGATGATGGCATAGGGGAGAGCAAAGCTTCAGCAACACTCTCCGCAGCCCAGCAGTGCGGAGGCTGCCGCTTGCCCACACTGCGCCCCGCTCCATATGCTGCGGCCGCTGCCGCGCCTTACTGGCATCGTGCGTTGGACAAAGGTGGACCCTGTGGCCCCTTTTGAATCAGTGACAGGAGTCCCTCTAACATCACTGGGACTAGATGGTCACAAAGAGCACTTGATTGTTAATGACAAACCACACAGGTTGTAAACACAACACACAACTGTTTTACCCAGAATTGTTACTATCTAGGGACACCTTTCAAATAAAAAATATATATAAAGAATGGCCAGCTTGGCCACATGATTGCTGAGCTCACTGAGACCAGCCTGTACGATACACCAGCCTTGACAGCCATAAAAGATCTGCTGTGAAACCAGGTGCCCTAGCTGACAACCACAGCTTCTGCGAGCATTTCTGAATTCCAGTTTTACTAGGGCTCAAGGGCTAATGGCCCCAAAGTACACAAATGAATGAAATGAATCTCAATGACTCCCTATGAGAGATTCTATAGAATCCTTTTAGGATGGTAAAACGTCCCTAACCACAAACTGCTGCAGAATGAAAGCATCACATCAGCTTGCCCTGGTATTAGCCTGGCATTCACTGCCTGCCACTGCTGAAGACAGGATACTTTGGTCCGACCCAATATCACCATTTTTGTTTTCTTGTGTTAATACTGCATTCATTTTCCTTGTAGAATTCTTTCAAACAATAAAAGCTCTAACACATTATGGCAGCCAGGTGAGAGCAGAACATCATCTGAAACTGTAAGCTGAAAGTAAAAAAAGGCTAAATAATGTGTTGAGGTGATAAAGTAGACATATCCTGTAGTTTTGACATGTCATCTATGAAAGTGTAAATTAATCAACAATTAGTTTCTCTCTGAGTATTTTTCATCAGTTGATGAAATTCATTTTGGATTAATTAGAAATAAAACATTAATCAGATTTGCATTAATTATGGCATCTTATATATAGGCTGAACATATTTTAGTCTGAATAAGACAAGGTAAGCTTGCCTTTAGCAACAGAAAATGACACGTCTGGTAGATAAGCTGTTCCGTTTGTATTTACACCTTTATTTTCCTTCTTTCCCTTCTTTCTTTTTGCTTTGCAAGTCTGTTGCCCATGAACCCTTTTGGTCAAATTAGCAGTTACATCTCTGAAGTCTTCCTTGTAGTAAAGGGCATTGTGCATTTGTAATTGGAAGAAGAATTTGGCCCAGGTGCTTGAAGAAAGAGCAGTGTGCAGTGGAATGAACTCAAGATCCCAGCATGTCTGTATAAATCTGAGTATATTTAGCCAATATTTTGGCATATTGTAGAGTTGTACATAAGTCAGAATCTTGTTAATTTTTGTGAACTCTCCAGTCATCAGAAATATATCTTAGAATTTTGAACAGGACCTGAATTGCTACTATTATTTCTGTTTTCATTGTTAATAATTAAACATCAGACTCCAAAAAAAAAAACCCAAAAAGCCATCTTTATGCATCACATAGTATCAAAAAGGCTTTTGATGAATCCAAGCTTTTTCATGGGCCACATTTAAGAAAAGCAGATGTTTTTTATATATCCTACTGTATAACGGACAGATTATGTTTCTTAACCATTAAATTGAATTTGGGAATGTTCATCAGTCTGTGAAATTCACTCACACATAAATAAGTA